GACTAAAAGGGGTTCTATTTGAATAAAGACTTGATATTGAGACAAGGAAAAAAAGACTAAAGCGTTTAGTTCATCTTTTTTCCATAAGAGGAAAATAAAATTTATAACTACATTTGAAAAAGACAAGTCACATGTCAACTTCTGAATAGCATTATGCTTTTTAAAATGGTTTTAAAAAAAGTTTAAAACCATCATAAAATGGTTTTAAACTTTTTTTAAGATTATAACAGAAATGGCAATTTTTTTAAATCTAGAAAATATAGACAGTATGAAGAATATAAAAAATATTCAGAATCCCATCACCACTGTTAGATCAGAATTTTTTTAATTCATACATGCATAATTAAGTATATACATGTTTTTGTTTTAGACAAAGTTGGAATTATAACATTTGTATTTTTGTATTTATTACATTATGAGCCTTACCTCATATTCTTAGTATTATTCAGAAAAATTTTTTAACAGCTACAAGTTTTGACAGAGATTTTACTATTTTAACTGGTCTAAGATTCTAATTAACCTAAATTGCTATTTAGAATAGATTTACTATTATTTCAACCCTTTCTGTCAAAGAAACAGCAAAAATTAGCCCCATGCTAATTTCAACTGAGAACACCCCCTTGAAGCTAATCTCAATATGACTTGGGAGTCAATAAACTCATAAGGGTACAGAGTCCCATAACTGAGAACACAGGCTAATGCAGAGTCTGAGGCTGGTGGGACAGCAGTGCAGGGACAGGGCCTACGACGGCAAAAGGCACCTCTAGAATAAGAGGAGTTGGAGAAAAGAACTTTCAGGGCAAGGCAAAAACTATTTAAAAAAATTCTGAAGGCCTTTAAGTCTGATATAGTCCCTACAAAGTCAACTCTTAAAAACACTTGGGGATAGGGGCACCAAGAGACTCCAACTCCATCCACCTCTCTTTTCTCTCTGCACCTGATCCACAGATACAACAAAGCCTATGCTACTTGTTATGTCCCTACCACCAAGTCCTCTTTCCCGCATTGCTACACAATGACCTAGTTATAGGAGACCTCCACATTACAGTGAACTACAGCCACACAGTGCAATATTCAGCTGTCATAACACTGCACAAGAAGAGTCTGTGAACTAATGTGGAAATGTATAAATATCGCTGCATGAAAAGATGGCAAAACCAGGATTTCAGGCAGTAGGGTTATAGGTGCTTTTCTTTTTTGATTCTGTATTTACCAATAGTTTAAAATAAACTGGCTTTATAATTCTAGTTTTTAAAAAATGTGCCTAATGTTGAGCTGTAATTTCAATCTCCATTTATATCAGTTCAGATTGAACTCTTTCAAATTCTATCACAAGTAGGAGTCGTGTTAACAAAATATCTACTTAAAATAAATAAACTTTTCTTGATTAGATATCCTACCTCAACTAAAGAACAACTGGAAACAGACTCTGAGTATATTTCTTGGTGTGAATCTAAAGCAGCCTCAGGGGCCCCAAGAAGGGCATTAAAGTAAACTAGTGGTTCCCAAAGTATAATACAAATATGACTGGTGGCATGTCAGATAATATTACAAGGCACATGAAGGAACATTTTTATTTTAATAGTATATCACATACTAATCACTAAAGTGAAAACTCATTTAAGGCAGTAGAAAATAAAGAAAAATTAAGATACAAAAGCATCTTTCATTTTCCTGTTTCATGAAAAGGGAAGTTTGCGGCCAGTCTACGTACATTTCGTGAAGAAACTATAGGATCTATACTGTTGGCCCATCAAGTTGCTGGGAGAAGAAATGCAGCATTGTGTCTGTAGCGCACAGGTCAAGCTGCTGAAATGACAATTGTCTCTGGTTCCTGAAGATGACAAAGGGCCTGTAGGTAGATGGGAAAAAACTTTGAATTAGATGCTCCATGGCTGTGAAGAAACATTGCCATCACCAAATAATTAATTGTTCCTAATAAAATTAAGTCACAAAAATCCTGAACTTCTTTTTTTATTACTGATTTCAGAGAGATAGAGATAGAAACATCAATAATGAGAAGGAATCACTGATCTGCCACCTCCTGCACACAGGCCCTGCTGGAGATCGAGCCCTGCATATCAGATATTTACATTATGATTCATAACAGTAGCAAAATTACAATTATGAAGCAGCAACGAAAATAATTTTATGGTTGGGTCACCACAACATGAGGAACTGTATTCAAGGGTCTCAGCATTAGGAAGGTTGAGAACCACTGCTTTAGACCCTATGCATTTCCATTACAAAGAACGTGCTTTGTTCATTTACATTTCTAAAAACCACACAAAGTACTCTAGCATTAGATGTAAGAGAAGGCAGTTAAATAAACAAATCTCACCATTACTGGGAACAGTCTTCAATGCCAAAGTGGAAGCTGTTGGAATGGAGTGTGGGTAAAGCTGCCTGGACCATAAGAGACCTGTAAAGTAAAAAAAAACAAAAAACTTAAGATACCGTATTTGCCGGCGTATAAGACGATTTTTTGGCCCTGAAAAATATGCCTCCAAGTGGGGGGTCGTCTTATACGCCAGGTACACTTCAGATAGACTGCCCATAGTGCTTGCCCCGTGCCATAGTGGCCTCCCGATGCCCGCCCACTTCATTCCACATACCGTTCAGGCATCAGCAGCGCTGCTGGGTGTATGCTCGGCTGTTATGCGATTTTGCTGTTATGCGATTTTACCACACTCGCAAAATCGCACACAGCCGACCATACACCCAGTATGATAGCGCAAAATCACGAATCGCGATACCATACTGGGTGTATGGTTGGCTGTGTGCGATTTTGCGAGTGTGGTAAATTCGGGTTACCGTATATTTCTTTACATATGCATTGAAGATTCGCGATTTTGCGCTATCATGGTGCCTGTTAGAATGTTGAAGAGCTCGCACTTGCGCACTAGTGAGGTCTATTTGTTATCTTACTTCTATCATTGACAGTCCCTCTAGGTTGTGGGCTGCTTGCCTGTGTTCCTGAGAAGCATCTACGGTACCAGTCTATAGAGTGTGTTTTCTTTAGTGAATTACCGGTATGTTTACCGGTAATAAACTTGCACTGTTTTATGTATATGTTTGATTACATACAGCCTTGTGACAGTTTTCCTGCATGTCATAAGCATTTGAATATAAATTAAAATGTTAAAATCAAATCTGATATTGTTTTACCTTTTATTTGGTGTGTGGAAGGTGTGCGGAAGAGGGGGTAGTCTTATATGGCGAGTATATAACAAACTCTGTATTTTGAGTGGAAATGTTAGGGGGTCATCTTATACGCCCAGTCGTCTTATACGCCGGCAAATACGGTACATTTTTCCATGAAAAAGCACTTTAAAAACAGTCAAGCCCATATTCACAGTAATATCAATATCTATAGAATAAAAGAACCAAGACAAGCCCTGGCTGGAGCGCTGGCCTGCGGACTGAGGGATCCGGGTTGGATTCCGGTGAGGACACGTGCTGGGGTTGCGGCTGGGGATCCCCAGCAGGGGGCGTGCAAGAGGCAGCTGATCTCTGACTCTCATCACTGATGTTTCTATCTCCCTCTCCCTTCCTCTTTGAAATCAATGAAAATATATTTCAAAAAAGACAGCCCAGTTTAAAAATGGGAAAAGATTTTAAAAGACTGTCTCCAAAAACACCATACACAAATGGCCAATAAGCAATGAGAAAATCTGCTCATTAGCCATAAAAAATGCAAATCAAAATCACAGATATCAACTCACTCTCACGAAGAAGACTATAATGAAAAGGGCTGACAACAAACGTCAAGGATGGAGAGAAATAACCCTCAGGTGCTACTAGTACTAGACGACGGCAGCTAACAGCCAACAGGTAAACTGACCTTCGAAACAGCCCTCTTTTAATTAATGGTATTGCCAGCCGGGATCTAACAGTCGGATACCCACGCGACTCAAGCTGTAGGACAGCCTCTCTCTCCCTTAAGCTCTGCTGGCCGCCCCCCACCTCGAACCCCGCGTCGATATCACCAAGAGAACCGTGGGTCGTGCCGCCACTTACGGCGACACTTGCCTGCGATTCTGGGCCCCGCTCTGCGCAGCACACAGGACAGGAACGATCTGGACAACTGGAAGGGGCCTTGGACCCTCGCGCTACAGACCGACCCTGGAACCGAGAGGGCGAGGGCGCGCGCAAGGTCACACAGCGCATCTGGGTGGGGAGCCGGCGTGAGGGGCCCAGGGTCCGCGCGCGGCTCCACGCTCCTCTTCGCCCGGACGAGCTCCCGGCCGCCTCCCCGCTCATAGTACCCCTCCGCCCAAGGCCCCCACTCCTTGTCCCTGCTCTCACCCGCGGGCACGCGGCATAGCGCAGGAAGGCAGCCCGCTGCGCGCACCGCCGCCGCCATGCTGGAGCCCCCGCAGCGCCTCGTCCAGGCAGCCCTCCCCACCGCCCGCCAGACTGCAGCGGGTCGCAGAGCCGGCCTCTGCTCCCTGGGCCTCAATCCCCAAGGCCAGATGGCAGCGCCGCAGCGCAGCCCGGGATGGGAAACTCTCCGCACTGGCACCGAAAGAAACGAGTCCGGCGCGGCTGCGGACAGCCTCACAGGGTCCTCACGTGAGGACCCGAGGGCGGGGTTTGGGCTGGTCGCCGCGGATGGAGGGTGGGGCTAGGGCTTGCTCAGCGTTCTCTCGCGAGAGGTGGCGGGGCCACGCGGTTTCCGAGGCGACGGGCACGCGCCTTTGACCTCCTTCTCCCGCCCGCACGCGCTGGGCCTGGGGACTTAGCATCTGGGTGGGCGACACACAGGCGGCAGGGAATGGGTTTGAGTGGAGGCCCGCGCGGTAAGGCAGACAAGGGGGATGGCGCCAGTCGTTCATACCCGCTCCAGTCGCGCTCTGGAGTCCATTCGCTTTGTTCTGATTCTCAGGTTTGGCCACAAACTTGTGTACCAAGTCTGGGCTACAGTTTTTATTCACAGTTTTAAATACACGGACGTCTTGTAGGAAGCTAGGAATCCTGCTCAGACAAACCTCCGATTTTCAAAGTTAGTGTAAATTTTTCAAATACAGAAAAGCAAAACTAGTGACAAGCTAGAGCCCGAGGTGATCAAGATTGATGGTTGCTTCATCTACTACTATTTTCTTCTTTGCTGAGCTAAACAACTGGTTTCACTCCTGCCTCTTTTATGATGCGGCCCATTTAAAAAGACTTTTAACATCAAATTGGCCCATTTAAAGGATAGAGGTTGATCACGCTCAGTACTGGCAGGGGTTTGGGGAACTGGCACACGGATTGATTGGGGAGGGAGAGTTGCTGATTAATAATTCGTGTATGGTAGGGTGCCTGTGAAGGTGGCCCCCTGTCACGTCCTTCTCTTCATGTGCTTGCATGTCATTCCTTTGCCTAGTTGTGGAGTTCGTGTCACCTCCTTTGAATCCAGGCTGACCTACCACTGCTTTGATCAACTGAGAGTGGTACCGGGCTTCCTTAGGAGGTAGAAGAGAGAAGCCCGGAAGGTAGATCAATATTGTCAAGGGATGGACGTGGGCACCAATTCAGTCCTAACAGGAATCCTCATTTTGGGGTGTGAAGAAGGGAATTTTATTTAGGAAAAAAAAAACAAAAAAACAGCTCAAATGTGATGCAGCATAGTTGTGAGCCAGCCCTGGGGCCAGGCCCCTCACCAGCTAGACAGCTCTGCTCTAGTGAGATAGCTCCATGGTTCAGCCCAGCCAGGGAAACACAACCATCTTTCTTTGGTGGAAAGGACAAGGGCCTGCCTAGAGCAGGAGAGGAGCTGGGTTATAGAGACAGAAGGTCCCACCCCTGGTCCCTGATTGGTCTGTTCCCATGTAAATCCAAATCCTCTCAGTTTGATTGGTCCAAAAGGCACTGACATGAGTGATCAGAATAGATATTGGTTGGATCTATGCAGCTCCAACTGGACAGGGAAAGCCTCAGTCCTACTGGTTGAAATAAGATTCCAGGAACTCCTTTATGAGAGATGGCAGAAACAGCGCAGGAGGCCATTCAGTGCAGGCTTCTTCCTGAAGTGGTTTGCATGCAGTTTGGGTAGAAGTGGCTGCTAAGCTCCACTGTAATAGTTACCCTAAGTTCACTGGCTCTCAGGTTCATATCATGTTGCCTCTGCAATTTAGGTTGAGAACAGGAGCTACCATAGATCAGAGTCATCTTGATTAAAAAGAGTTAGCTTGTACTAGGACAGTCCCTCAGACATTTAAAGTCCAGATGAGGAGGCTGAGCCCTGAATTCAGGGAACCAGTTTAGAGTGGATCCACACAGACAGGCAGGATCTAGGGGTCCAAGAGTTTGGCCAAGGCAGAGGGGAGCAGGCAGGTGGGATGCACAGGAGTCACCTGGACAGCTGAGATAAGAATGCCAGTCTAGAAGGCTAAAAATCATGTGTATTTCTTCCCAGAGAGCCAAGGTTCACAGAAGCAGAAATAGCAAATATTTTACATTAGCTTAATTTGCTCTCTCACCTTTTCCCCAATGCCCTTCTGTTACCCCCACCCAAGTCTCTTTATATACCTGGATGCCTGCAACAACTTTGTTGCTAGTCTTCAGCCTAAAATTGGTCCCTTCCTCTATTGTATATTTGCTGTGTTAACCATTCTTGTGCACCTACTGTTGCCGCTGAAAATCTTCATACTGCCTACAGGATAAATTTTCACCCCTCAGTTTGGCGTTTAATGCCTTCTTCAGTCTGCCCTCACCTCCTGCTGCTCCTGACAAGAATCCCTATTTCAAACAAAGGAGCTTGCTTACCATACCTCAGACGTGTCTCCATACTTCTTAGCCTTTAGTCTAAAGGTCACAATGTATAATCCTGTTTATATGACTCTGAAAAAAGCAAAACTAAAGGTACAGAACAAAACAGTGGTCACAAGGGGTTGTGACAATACCTTACCTATAGTAGCTTGTTAGTCTGTTTGTTTAAAAGGGGAGACTTGTTCCTGAAATAGGATTTTATCATATTCTTAGTGTGATCATCAGTTTTCCCTGATGCTCTAGCTCAGTGGTTCTTAGTTTTAGCTGCTCATTAAAATCACTCACTCCTCAGATTGGGCCCCAACAATCTCTACAGCTCTTCAGGTGATTGTTACCAGGAAACCCCCGGTTGGGCTTGGCCTGCCTGTCGCTGTGTCCAACAAAGGCACGGCTGAATCATATTAGGCGTTTATCCAGAAGGCTAGCCAACCAAGAAGACAGGGTGCTTACAAGCACAAATCCTGTCTTCCGGCAGGTGCAGGATTATAAAGGGGAAGGGGCTAGGGCAGTGATGGCGAACCTCTGACACGCGAACTCATTTTTTTGGTTGATTTTTCTTTGTTAAATGGCATTTAAATATATAAAATGAATATCAAAAATATAAGTCTTTGTTTTACAATGGTTGCAAATATCAAAAAATTTGTCAATGTGACACGGCACCAGAGTTAAGTTAGGGTTTTTCAAAATGCTGCCACGCCGAGCTCAAAAGGTTCGCCTTCACTGGGCTAGGGTGAGGCAGCCCTGGAGGTCCGCAGACGTCAACTATTGTCTTTAGTCATCAGGCGATGAGATGATGTTGATGAGATGATGTTTTGACTCCTGGTTGGTCAGTCTGACCCTACTTATCGGTGCTGCTTGCTGGATTCACAGCTGAGTCACCTCCTCAATCGCTTCACACAGGCCTTGAAAAGGAAACTTAAGAAAAACCTAAACCCCTATTCACATATGTATATGTGGCCTAAGATTTAAAATAATAGGATTACTTTTCAGATTAATTCAGGTGCTCTATCAGAATGTACGCTCCCTATCAATTCCCGTGCAGCAAAGGTTGAGAATCCCTGCGATGCCTCCCCCAGGGCCCTTTCCAGCGGCACGGAGGAAGACAGGCTGGTGTGCCCGCAGCTATCGGCCAGTCGGGCAGATCCCCGGTCAAATACACTTGTCCTCGGCTCTTCTCTTCTTCCGCGCAAGAATGTGCACATACCCTGCCTCAAGCGCAGCCCCGTCCTCGGAACCAAATTCTGTGTCTCTCTGGCTCACATCTCAGAACCAAATTCCTGACCGCGGACAAGCTACCGCGGACAAGCTGAAACAGAAACAAGCCCCTTCCGAGCGCCAGAAGACTCGTGACCCAGATGTCCCGGGCGGTGAGAACCAGAGGAAAGACACACTTCCCACCGGAGGACTGGAGGAATGCGCCACCACGCGTGGTCAGCACTGCCAGGGTGACCACAGGCTCGGCACCCACACCCGCTGCCTCTCACTGCGGCACAGTCACGCCTCAGGGTCGCCAATCCTTTCAGAGGCGCAGGCCGACGCATGTTTCATACGTCATACTGAAGCGCGCCGGCCGCGGAGACTTCTGGGAAATGCAGTCCGAACGAAGGCCGCGTTCTGATTGTGCGCGCAGGCCCTTTGCGCAGACTCTGCCTTCCCGACCTGATGAAGCGCCGTTTTCCTGGGTCCTGAGCGCCGAGTCCCGGAGGTGAGGGCTGTAGAGACGCGACTAATGCGGAGTGAGCGCCCCGGCGTGAGGAGGGCACACTGAGACCCTGGGGGCGGTGGTGTGAGAGTAGAATTGGGGGACACGGCGGAGCCCGCGTGTGCGTGTATGTGTGTGTTCGTGTTCTCAGATACACCCGGATACACTATACACTGTACATCTGTCACCTGCCAACTTTCAGGTTGGAAGGTGGGAGTCTTCTGTCAACGAAAACTTCAGCAGGCCTTTTTGAGAGACCGAAGACACTTGCTCAGCAGTGGTTTGCAGACCAGGGAGCCGGCCTCCGGGATGAACGCAGGGGAGGTGGGGCAGAGTTTTTAAAGGCAGAAAAACCGCAAGAAGCTGACCGTTAAGGGATTGGTTGCCACGGGGAGCAAAGCCATAAGTGTACACTATACCTTTTCTGGTTGATGAGAGCAACCGGTCTTTCTAGTTTCTGTTAATCCATGATCAGCAGGTAGAGGTAGGAGATATGGTCAGCGCTTGTGGTCATGAGACATGGGCAGCAGGGCTGTCACAAGGCTAGGACCATTGCTCGGTTTCCCTTGGAGCTCATGAAACAAACTTGTCAAACAGATAGCGATAAAACAGACAATACAGGGAGTGCAGTTTGTCAGGTAGAGTCAGTTCAAACTGCAGAGCTACTTAGTCACTCAAGCAGAGCCAGAGGCCAAATTGCAAAAAGTTACAGGTACTGGACCACAAAGTCATAACATTAAAATACTCAACTCCTCTCGCCCCTTCTTCCCATTATGGGTGCTTACTAAAGGTGGGTGAAGCTGACACTCGTGCAGGGTGCCGCCCACTTCAGTCCTTCTTTCCCAGAAACCACCTCAGATTGACAGTTTAGTGACTAAACTTTAGTCCCTACCTTGACCTCCACGAGCGATCACAGTGAGGGGCGTCTTCATGGAGGAGGTCGCATAGAGGATCAGGACAAGACATATGGGCAAGGTGATTGTATGGGTCTGATCCAGGGACTGACAGGAATAGACTATTTGGGGACAGTTGTTCTAGCGGTCACATCCAGAACTAGAGAGAGGAAGGGACTAGTGGCAGGGAGCCAGCTAGGAATGGTTAGTGGTAGTCATCCTGAAGCAAGCTGTTATGGAACCCAATTATGATGTCAGTGGTAGGAAGAATACAAATGACATGGCAAAAGAAGAGTCAGAGAACCTGGTGACTAGTTAGACTTAGGAAGAAAGAGATGACTAATTAGATTTAGGAAGAGAGTGCTGTAAGAACTTGAATGAGGGGCACCTGGAAGGAGCTAGAACATCTGATGGAAATGTGAAACGGAGAGGAGTTGAGGTAGGGAGTTGCAGAGGGGGAGATTGTTTGGAGGTCCTGGCAGAATGCCTAAATCGTTTGGAAATGCAAGGTGAGTTTGGAAGAGGTGTTGGGACTACACTGGGAACCACCTCTGAGCGTGGACAATGGAGTGCCAGGTGTGAATGGATTTTCTGAGGGTTAGCAAGAAGAACATTGTATAAAGACAGCCAGCATCCATGTTTCCAGGGCAAGATTGGGGAAAAAGAGTTACAGAAAGATGCCGTGTTGGTGGGAGGAAGAAAGTCAGGCTAGTGCAGTATCAGAGCAGCTACAGCAACTTAGAGAAGAAGAAACTTGTCAAAACAATCAAAAGCTGCAGAGAAATAGATAAGGAGAGATGGATGATTGGAATTAGAGCTCAGGAAGGCATTGTTAATTTTCAAGCATGCAGTTTCAGTTGTGTGAAGGGTGGCAGGAGCACAATAAGGGTTTAAGAAAAATATGTGCCCTGGTTGATGTGGCTAAGTAGTTACAGTGTCATCCCGTGCACCGAAGGGCCTCAGGTTCAATTCCCAGTCAAGGGCACAAACCTGGGTTGCAGGTTCAATCCCTGACCCCAATCGGGCACTGCGGGAGGCAATCAATAGATGTGTCTCTCCCTTTTCTCCCTCTACTTCTCTTTCCCCTTCTCTTCCACTCTAAGAAAAATCTTTGGGGGGAAAAAATCCTCTGGTAAGGATTACCACCCCCCCCAAAAAAAATAAATAAAAGGAAAGAAGAACAGGTGGTGGTGATGTGTAGTAGATAGGTATATGTTACTCTCCAAGAAGTTTGGTCATGAAAGGAAAACCTAAATGAGAACTATTTTGCTAGAGGGAGGCCATGGGATTCAGTGAAGATCGTTTCAGATAGAGGAGGACTGTATCTGTTTGAACATATGGGAAGAAGGTACTGGAGAGATGGGAGATGTTGGAGAAAGAAAAACTGGGCAATGCAGGGAGCTGATTCTGCGCAAGAACAATAGTGGAAAAGAACATAGGACAGTTGTGAGATACTAAGGTAAAGTCCTAGAGACACAGACATTTCTGTTTTGTTGACCTCACTCCCCTTCTGCGTAGTGCAGTGGTCGGCCAACTCATTAGTCAACAGCCAAATATCAACAGTACAACGACTGAAATTTCTTTTGAGAGCCAAATTTTTAAACTTAAACTATATAGGTAGGTACATTGTTAACTTAATGAGGGTACTCCTAAGGCTTAGGAAGAGCCACACTCAAGGGGCCAAAGAGCCACATGTGGCTCGCGAGCCGCAGTTTGCCGACCACGGGTAGTGCATAATATTCATTGAATGGTAGGATGAATGGGTTTGTATTGGGCAGTAGAAAGGAAAGGAGCTTTCGTTAGTTGAACAAGCTGTAAGATAAATGCTTTACATTAATTGTCTCACTATTTACAACTACTCCATGAAGTAAGCATAAGTAATCGATAATTCCAGGTCTGTGGTTGCTTTCTCCCTCATGGTTCTGCCCCCCTTGGCACTCGCTCTTGTGAAGCTCAGTATAGTAAAAGACAGTGTTCCACTAAAATTGAAGGTTGGAGTAGCTATGGAGCTAGGACAGGAACAGTAAAAGCTTTTAGACAAGGGCTCATTTGAAGGTATAGAATAAGAATTTGAAGAGTGTTTTCTCCAGAAACAGTGAGATCCAGGAATGGCACTGTACTAAATCATCATACTACTTATGATGATAGTTTCATTCCATCCCCATAAATCAGTAAGGTAGGTACTGTGTTGCGGTTTAGGAAATTTAGGCTTTGTAAAAGGCTGAGGTAAAATTTGAACCCAGGTCTAACTAGCAGTTTTTAACCTCTGCCCTATAATGACTTATTTTCATTAAAAGATAGCACAGTACCTGGTCAGTAGCAAATGCAAATGCTAAAAAATATGCTAGTTATTAATATGATGTTTAATGGTGTTCCATTGTATAGATGAGCTGGATCATAAATTAATCAAATTCCCTATTTAGAAATTTAGGATATTTCAAATTTTTTCTGTATTATTATAAGGATTAAATGCTTAGGTTTCCACACATAGCACTCAAATGATGGTTAAGACAAAACTTTGCATATATTCTTATTCCCTTAGGATAAACTGGGGAAGAATTGACCGATCAAAGACTATGTATATTTCCAGGCCCTTGATACAAATTGCAATGATCTTTCTAAAATCTAATGATAATGCTCCATGCTTAAATCCTTCAGTGACCCCCATGCCATGTGTAGAAAAGGGACCATACAGAGCTCTTCTGGATCCAGCTGGCTGCTGGCTGCTTCTCCATCCTCTTCCTTTCCCACAGCTCTGCTTGCAGCGAGACACCTGCCATTCTAACGTAGTTACAGCTGTCAGTCCTTTCCATGTAAACACCTTCCCCCTTGTTTTTGAAAACCAGGTGTTTTTCCTGCCTAGAATCTTCTCCCACAAATCACAGCTCATCTGAGATCCCATTTCTGCCCAGAAGCCTGCCCTGTTCCTCCCTCCCTCCATCTGGGTTAGGCAAGCCTCTGATGTGCCCTCATAGTTTGCTGTGTGTATCTCTTTAAAGCACTTAGCCTTTCTGCAGTGAAATGCTATTTTGGTTACTTGTTTGTCCTGTGTGCTAGGCTATAAGCTTTTATAGGACAAGGAAAGTGTCATGGTTTTGGGGCTTGGTATCAATAGTTAGGGCTGATACATGTTGTTTGGATGAATGGATGAATGAAAAATAAGGATCAGTTAACACACTTGCAGGAGAGCAGTCAGCAAGCCATACCTCTTCCTCCTTCGCAGGACCACACTCTCTCCCCATCCCACTCCTAAGTCCCAGCAATGTTTGATTTCATTGTTTTAATAAGAAACTGAGACATACTAGCTAAAGAGTAGTGGTAAGGGTGCACACAAAGCCTAAGAGGTTGGGTCTTACGGACATCCAAGAATAAATAAGGCTGGACTCTATGCAAATTGGGGTGGTACTCTATGCCCAGGGGTGGTACTTCGGGGCTAGGAATTCTTGGGTCTTTGCTTTAGTGCTTTATCACTAATGTGACTGAGCTGCCCTTCCCCCCTGACTCTGTCTAGTCCTGCCTCCAACACACTCATGGATTCTGCTTCTTGATAACTTAGGCTCCCCTAACCTCCCACATATTCATGGCTTCTGCTTCCTGATCACTTTGGCTCCCCTAATCCTCATAGCTCCTTCTGTCCATCACATCCGTTCAGTTCAGCACCCACTTGTCCTGACATTTCTTAGTTCACATTCATGAGGAAGGATGTCATCTCTTCTAGTCAGATCACATTTCAGTCTTCTAGTCAGCCTGTGCCTGCTCAACGTGGCTGCCCACATCCTTGAGCTCAGGGTTATAAATAGGGTATTTTTCCCTTGAAGAGGCTTTGGGTATTTACTTGACATATGTTATCCATGTGGTCATTTATAAAATTTCTTATGCGCTTTATCCAGTAATCAGGGTAATATATATATATTTAATATATTTATTGATTTCAGAGAGGAAGGGAGAGGGAGAGAGAGATAGAAACATCAGTGATGAGAGAATCATTGATCGGCTGCCTTGTGCATGCCCCCTACTGGGGATCGCACCCAAAACCCTGGCATGTGCCCGACGGGGAATCAAACCATGACCTGGTTCATAGGCGGACACTCAACCACTGAACCACACCAGCCAGGCACCACTCCAGGCAATATTGAACGTGACTTTATAAGTACAGTATGAGCCTTCATCTGTTTTCCACACACAGGAACAAAACTCTGCCTCTAGGGTTATGGTAAAACAAGCACCATATTGTGTCCTAAATAGCATTCCATGCCTTTTGCTCTGGTTCTGTGGCCGGAGGGGCTTGCCCCTGGCCTTGCTTTCCTTTCCTTCCCTTGTGTAGGGTGTTAAGTTGAGGGTGAATATATAACTTACTGGCATATGGAGAGTTCTTGCTTCCTGGATCAGAAAACTACAAACAGGATGGTCTTCCTCACACTGTCTTTCTCACCCCACACCTTTACCTCCTTAGGACTCTGCCCTTTCCTAATGGAGAGCACCCAGGCGGGAACAGCTGCTGTGGCTCCAACTGCCAGGTGCCAGGTGATGTAGACGTCTCTGTTTTTGAAATGCTTTGTCTCCAGAATGTAACCCCTTCTCTCTTTCTGTCCTGGAGCTTTTTTATCAGACCCACCAGGTGAATGAAGGGTTCCATAAGGAGTGCTTCCTTCCCATTTGATTCGTGGTGTCCCTCAGTGACCTTTTCTTGCCTTGAGCGCGTGCTGTGCTCCCAATAGCAGACACACAGCCCCTGTGGGCTTTGCTCTAAGTGATTTCGCATAAAAAATGATTATACGGTTCTGATTGGAAGGTTTGGGGAACAATGGGCCAGTTTAGTCCTGACTTCTCTTTGCATGGACTAAAAGCAGGCCCCAAACAGTCCAGGGAGTGCTGGGGAATGAGAGCACCTCAGTGAGGTCATGAGTCCTGAGGAGCATGTGGTGGGCACAGTCAGGTGCTTGCCCCCTTCTCATGCCAAGGCGTAGGGTCTTGAATTACATGCTCTGGCTCAAAACTTTTGCAGACACACTGAAGACTCACCTGGGGTTTTAGGATGTGGGGTAAGGATGCAGTCTAACAGAATCACAGAACATTAAAATAAAATGAGAGGGATCCTAAAGATGATCTAATCAATATCAATGTTTTAAGGCTATGTAAGAAAAAAAAAAAAAAAAAAAAAGATCATGGGTGGAATTTGAATAAAGTTGTAGACTAGATAATAGTAAAATGTCAATTCTATTTTGTTGATTTTTATAATTATACTGTGATTATACAAGAGAGTACCCTTGTTTTTACAAAATATATATATACTAAGATATTAATGAGTAAAGGAACATCATGTTTGCAAGTTACTCTTAAGAAGTTCAGGAAGAATATAGGAATATATTCTGCAGAGAGACAGGAAGATAATGCAAATATGGAAGATAGTAACATTTGGGTAAGCTGGGTGAAGGGTCCATGGGAATTCTTTGTTTCTTTCTTGCAAGTTTTCTGTAAGTCTCAGAAACAGCCTCCATACTCAGAGCTCAGCTGTGACTATGGCGGTGTGGGATTACGACCAAGGGGAATGATGCCACTTTCCCCAAGTGCGCCAAAGCCCTGTTTTGTCAGAACCATTTCCTTCCCCACCTTCACCACCTCCAGGGCTGTCTTTATGACAGTTTTATCTGGTCCGTGTAAAATGAAGGGTTATGAGTAAGGGAGAGTGTGATTGTGTTTCCAGGAATCAGTGACATTCATGGATGTAGCTGTGACTTTCACAGATGAAGAGTGGAGGCACCTGATCCCTATTCAGAGGGACCTCTACAAGGAGGTGATGCTGGAGAACTATCAGAGCATCATCTCAGTCGGTAAGGAGCGCTTCCCATAAGCCTGTGCCAAAATGGATTGAGGGGCTAATAAATTGATCCCTCTTCTCCCACCTGAGTTCTGAACCACTGAGAGACAAGATAGAAGAGTAGGAGGATGTGGCTTAGGTGTACCTTGACAGTGGGCTTCCTAATCTGAACCCCAGCATTGGGCAGACTTGTTCCTTGAACCGTAAGCAGGGAGCTGGCTGTCCAGAAGGGCCAAACAAGAGGCTGAGTTATTTTTGCCAAGCTCTTCCCCCCGCTCATCAGTCAGGTCACTTACTCCGCTCCATCCAGAGTAAGGGTGGGGCGAGGAGCCATCTAATTGAAGGACAAGTTCTCCTTAGAGAAGCAGAGGAGAGACATGTTTCACTTTAAAAGAGGATGGGGGTAGCGTGGGGTGGGAATACAAGGTTGTGCCTCAGAGTAGGTCACTAGAAGTATGTTTGGTTTTGAATATTTGTCTTAAGTGCATTTTAGATGCCCACAGATGGAACTCTGCAATTAGAGACTTTCATGACAAAGGGAAAGTTAAGAATTGCTGCTGATGTCAGGTATTCTTGAGAAGTAAAGTTGGGCTCCTGCAGGTAATGAGAACATCTCAGGAGCTTCCAGAATAAGAGGCTGAGAGATGCACAGATTCAGAAGCAGGTTTCAATCAACAGCAGGTGTTAATAAGAGGAGTCAGATTGCAGGATTCATGCAAGGCAGCTCAAAAAAGCAAGTGTAACACCCCCTGGATTAGCTTAAACAGACTAAATATAGAAAACAGAATAGTGCTCATAGAGTATTAAGAGAGACTGCTAAGCCTTTATCAGAGGCTTTGGTGGGATGAAATTCTCGGGAATATAGAATTCATCAGATCAGAAGCCACAGGGAGGTGATGGATGTGGCTTCTTTGTCAGCAGAGAATCAGCATACACCTGGATACCTGATCCTAGGGTCCGGTAAGAAAGCGCTTCTCTTTCCCAACGTGGGGGTCCAATGCAAAGGAAGTTTAGACCTCAGGACTATTTCTAGGAGTGCAATCTATATAACCAAAATGGGTAAGTTCAGCCCTGCCTGGAGCATCGGCCCACAGACCAAACTATTGTGGGTTCGATTCCCCATCAAGTGCAGGTGCCTTGTTCAGGACAGAAAAAAAAAAAAAAGCAGTTACCTCAGTTGCAGGTTCCCCAGCTCCTGTGGGTGCAAGTTTTGGAGGCAACCAATTGCTGTGTCTTTCTCATGGTGATTTCTCTCTCCCTCTCCTCCCTCCTGTCCATCTCTCTCTTCCCCTCCTCCCCTCCCTTCCACTCTCTCTAGAAATCAATGGGAAAATATCCGTGAGTGAGGATTAAACAAACAAAAAAAAAAAATGGATAGTTTCACTTCTAGAAATTTGTCCCAAGTAAATAATAGGATGAGCAGCCCATGCTATACATACATGTTCATCATATTGTGTGTGTTTTTTAATAGAAAAACATTAAAAACAGTCTGAAATACCTGTCAGCAGGAGATTAAATAATTATATTATTCCATACAATATAGTATTGGGTAGCCATTAAAATGGTGAGGTAGATCTGTGCTTAATTGAAATAAAATAATTTTTAAATATATTGTTATGTGAAAATACCAAGTTTACAGATCAACATTATTTCATTATGCAGTTTTTAACAGAGTATATCTCTACTGAAATGAATAGAAATTTTAAAACAAGAATAAAAGCACATATCTCTAATTTTCCTACAATGAACATGACCGACTTATTTAAATAAAAGCATATCACTAGATAAACAAAGATTCGCTTTCATTACACGTTTTTACTCAAGATGATCTGTCTTCATTTTTAGCTTCCCTGAGCCAAGGACTGTTCCCCCCCATCCTACCAGTGCTAAAGCCCATGTACCTCTGGAGAAAGAATAAACACATTCATTCAAGGGGATTTTATCAACTTCTTGACCAAGTGCAACTTGATCCTTTTTAGAACCTTAGTGTTGACCTCTATCTAGATGCCCCTGCATTTTCTGCATTACTTTCTATTCTGCATTCTTGGCACACATGGTCTGCCTTCTGTGTTTTCTCCCTGAAAGTCCTAGAGGCCGCGATGAAGTTTTGGAGTGGTTATGTATATTTGTCACATACCTGGCTTGTTTCTCCATGAGCAGGACTTCCAGTTCCTCAACCTGATGTGATTTTCCAGTTTAACAGAGAGGATAAACCTTGGATAATTGATCTTCACGGACCTGATGAAGGAAGATGGCCAGAGAACATTTCTCTAGGTAACTGTATGTGAGCAGGGTAGGGCAGTTTGTTTTGTATTGTGGTTATTTGGGGGTTTGTGAGAGGGAGCATTGGCTATCATCTTTTTCTCCAATTCAGATCTTCTGCTTTCGTGCTATTCTCTCTTTTTAAAAATATATTTTTTTATTGATTTTCAGCGAGGAAGGGAGAAAGATAGAAACATCAGTGATAAAAGAGAATCACTGTTGGGCTGCCTCCTGCACACTCCCTACTAAGGATTGAGTCCACAACCCAGGCATGTGCCCTGACTGGGAATCAAACCATGACCCCTAATTCATAGGTTGGTGCTCAACCATTGAGCCACACTGGCCAGGCTAGTGCTATTCTCTATCACCCACCAGGTTTCAATTTTTTGACATCTAAAGCTATTATTCATCTTTAAAAAAAAAAAAGAATCCTCTCCTGAGGATATGTTTACTGATTTTAGAGAGAGGGAGAGAGAGAGAAAGAAATACTGATGTGAGAGAGAAACATTGATCAGTTGTCTCCCATATGTGCCCTGACCAGGGATGGAACCTGCAACCTAGGTATGTGTGCTGACCAGAATTGAGCCTGCCACCTTTTTGGTGCACAGGATAACACTCCAACCGAGCCACCTGGTTGGGGCTAGTATTATTTCTCTTTTTTCACCACTGCTACCCTCCGATCTGTCATGTTGCCTATTCACAATTTGATATTCCTATTTCTCACCATCCTTTCCACTTTGCATATTCTCATAATTACCCTGGGCCTGCTCCATGGAAATTCTTTTCTGAGATGTCCAACATCAGTTCCATCCCCTGCCTTCTTCTGTAGTCCCAAGTCTCAGTCTTTACCTAAACTGTGTAGCTATTTGCGGAGCAAGCAATGCAGTGACCATATTACTTTTCAGATTTATCATAGTACCTCTTCTTTCTGCTGTAATATTTTCTATCCCGGGAAAAAAACTGCATCTCTGTTTTCTGTCCATTACAGACTGGGAGACAAAGCCTGAGATTCAAGGTGAGATTCAAAGTGATTCAGAAGAAAAGTCAGAAGGAATGTCAGTGGAACAGCTTGGAAGAAAAAGTCCTCTGTGTCCTAAATTGGAAGTTCATGCACTAGAAGGTGGATTGGAAACAGAGAAGGAAAGTCCCATAGTGGAGATTTGTAAGAAATCCTTTTCCCAGGAGGAAAGCTTGCAGCAAGGGTTAACCCGTCCCAAGAAAATTCTCACTAAAGACAGAGACCAGGAATGCAGTGATTGTGGGAAGACCTTTTTTGACCACTCATCCCTTATCCGCCATCAGAAGACTCACACGGGAGAGAAGCCCTATGACTGTCATGAGTGTGGGAAAGCTTTTTACAACCGTTCAGCTCTAACTGTACATCAGCGAGTTCACACTGGAGAGAAGCCCTTTAAATGCCGTGAGTGTGGGAAAGCTTTCAGTCGTAGGTGCAGTCTCAGCAGACACTTGATGTCTCATACTGGGGAGAGCCCCTACGAATGCAGCACATGTGGAAAAGCCTTTTTTGACCGTTCATCCCTAACTGTACATCAGCGAATTCACACTGGAGAGAAACCATTTAAATGCAGCGAGTGTGGGAAAGCCTTCTTTGACCGTTCATCCCTCACTCGACACCAGAGAATTCATACTGGAGAAACTCCTTATGAATGTAGTCAGTGTGGGAAAGCCTTCAGCCAGAAAAGCATTCTTACTAGACACCAGCTCATCCATACCGGCCGGAAGCCTTATGAATGTACTGAGTGTGGGAAAGCCTTCTATGGTATCTCATCACTGAACAGACATCAAAAAGCTCATGCTGGAGAGCCTCACTTCCAGTGCAGTGAGTGTGGGAAAGCGTTCTTTGACCGCTCATCCCTTACACAGCATCAGAAGATTCACACTGGAGACAAGCCCTATGAATGCAGTGAGTGTGGGAAAGCCTTTAGCCAGAGAAGTCGGCTTACACGACATCAGAGGGTTCATACAGGAGAGAAACCCTTTGAATGCAGCGTATGTGGGAAAGTGTTTAGTTCTAAATCATCAGTTATTCAGCATCAACGGCGCTATGCCAAACAGGGAATAGACTGAATTGAGTGAAATTTTTAGTCAAAGAACCTCCATGAAAACTTAAAATAGGTCTTCCTCATCTTAAACTGATCAATTAATCATTCTACCTATTCTGGCTACTGCTCTCCTTTCCTGCCTCTGCTACCACAGTGTTTGAATAAAAACTATATACCGTGTTATAGAACAGATGTGGGATGCTGGAAATTAGGGTGCAATTGTAAAGCGTCAACATTTTGCAGAAGTTTCTCAGACAATAGGATAAATGTTAGGAGGTGATCCTCAGACACACCTCTTATCTGAGTCTCCTGCACTTTATCCCTGGTATCCCTGCACTTTAAATAACTGGAGGCTATAACAGGAAGGGAAAGACAAAATTATATCAGAGCAGGACTGATTTACTCAAATAGTTATTTTATAGCTGTTAGTCCCTCTCTCTTGGAGCTTTTTTGCACACTGATCTTTTTGTGTGTCCCAACTTTTAGATATCTTTAATACTGCTACTACCAATAGCTAGCACTTATTGAGCACTTATTATGGGGTAAGCACTCAACTACAAGTTTTGTAAGGAGATTATTTGGTCCTCTCAAATAATCCTATCCAGTGTGACTCAGTGGGTGACCTCGACCTATGAACCAGGAGGTCATGGTTAGATTCCTGGTCAGGGTACATGCCTGGGTTGTGGGCTCGATCCCCAGTAGGGAGTATACAGGAGGCAGCCAATCAATGATTCTCATCCTTGATGTTTCCATCTCTCCTGCTCCCTTATTCCCTCTGAAATCAATAAAAACATATTCATTAAAAAAACAAACCCTATTAAGTAGGTACTCTTATTACCTGAATTTTACAGGTGAGCAAACTGGAGTTTGGAGGGGTTAAATAAATTTCCCAAGGTGACAGCTAGTAAAAGGTGAGGCCAGTTCTTGAACAGGTCTACCTTCAAAATCCATTCCTTTCACCATTATGGTATAAAGTTGGTTTTATAATTTATGTACATGTATTATCTACTTAGCTAAATTATAAGCACTTTGTAGCTCTCCCAGTGCCTTGCAAATAATAGGTGCCCAATAAATATTTATCTGAATGAATGACTTTTCTTCTTACCCAGTTCCATTTAAAACACCTAATAGATTCACATCCTTTCTTTGAATTCTTTCAGTCTAGCCTACACCTTTATCATCAAAGGATCCCATTACTGCAGTAGTCACTTTCTGGTTCCAATTCTTCCAACTTCACCATTGAAGAGAGTTATGCTATGATGTCATCACAAGTAAACCCCGCCCAATAAACAAAGATTCATTTCTCACATAAAACATGATGTGAGTCAGTCTGTCTACTCCAAAGTCAAGAGAAAGCTGGAGGATTTTGTAGAATATTTTTAATGGCCATCACTTCTGTCCACATCTCATAAAACAGAACCCACCACCAAGAGGCTAGAAAAGTAAACAAGCACCTCAATATTTGGTTAATATCAATAGCTGTTGGTTACATTTTGCATATTACTGTTAGGCCATTCTTTCCAAATGACCCTTCTACCATCTTTATCTTATGCAGGATGCAAAATTGCTCCTCAATTGAAGTGTCCCTGAATATAAAGGTTTGGCTTGATGTGATCCCACATTGCTGAACTTTTAAGTCTTGACTCTCCAAAATCTTCGTTCCCTAGGCCCAGCCCAATATTTTTATTTTACCAAATAAAATAACTTTAGGCATTTGCTTAAGGTGAACCCCAACTTGCTAATGTCCCTGTTGATCTTGGCCCACCTTTCTTTGAGCAGATGAAGGATTTTCATGTGTAGACTTCTGAAGCCACATGAAGAAAAACACTCTAGAATCTATTGAAGTAGATAATAACTGATAATATTTAACATTACATAGAAAATAAAAGGGATTATTGATAACTTTTTGGCTGGTGACTGTCTCACAGTTCTAAATCTTTCATTTACAGCTTTGTTAAATGTAAATTAAGGATCAAATATTTCTCTAAGATATTCTGGCAATGTCAGCAAGATGAGACTAGAATTCAGAATTTTAATAGATTTTTGAGTACAGAGGTAAATAAAACTAAGTGGGGGCATCAATCTAATAATTCTTTGTTACCTTTTTAAATTTGGTATTCAGAGGATTTGTTGCTGTTCTATAATCCTGCCTCTTACATCTTTTTTTTTTTAATTGATATTTAGAGAGAGTGGAAGGCAGAGAGAGAGAAAAACATCACCTGCAACGGGACACATGCCCTGACCAGGAATCAAGTGAGCAGGTGCATGGGATGACACCCAAATAACAGCCTCACCAGCCAAGGGATTTTTTTTAAAAAATGTGAAATACTGTTCCAATTCCTGCTTAAAGTTCTGAAGGGCCATTTTACTTTTAATTGGTATCTCACAATAGGGCATGTAGTAGTGGAGGCCTTAAATTTTGAGCTTTTCATTACACCTAATGGCCATTAGTAGGATCCAATCTTGGAATCAGAAATTGGCTAAATTAGAAGTATGTCAGCATTCTTAAGACAAAAGGTGGAATACTTGTACTGTTTGTAATGTTTTAGCCTAAGACTTTGAAATTAGTTTCAAGGAAATGAAATAATCTCTCTGGTGCTTAAATAAGCCCTGTCTAAATTATAAAAGAAGTGAATACTTACCACACATATTAACAGAAGTACTCCACAAATCAACTCTTCAAAGGAAAGGTTCTGCAATGCTAGGAACTTTGAAATAAAGAGAGTATGATAGAGAAAATCTGAGCACTGAATTAACAAATACCTATGTAGTCATGAGAACTTGAGTCCCAAACCAAATGCACTTTCTAGAACTAGGAAAATAAACATCAAGCTAATATTGATTTAGGACTGAAATACTTTACACTGTTGTGCTAATAGCTTTTAGTCCACTCTACATGGAGCTTCATGGAGCTCTGATTTGGGTTATATGTTATTGTTCTTCACTTCAGCTGCAAAAGACCCCTATGTTCCCTGACCTTTGACTCTTCTCCCTCTAACCTGACCTTTAGTGAACCAACCTGTCACCCAGCTGTTCTTGTTTCTAGGGTGGTGGTTGTTTTTATCTTTGCTTTAATCTTATTGATGACTACTAGTAAGATTCCTTGATCTGACCCTGATATTCCACTGATACCGTGGACACGCTGCCTTCCTTTCTCATCACATATTCACTCATAGCTACTGAAGAAAAAATATTCATACCAAAAAGTTCAAAGTCCAGTTGCAACAGTCAGCTTCAGCCTGTGCAGCTAAGGAGGATGGGTCCCAGGCTTAAGAAGTCAGCAATAATGAACCAGAAGATGGGGCTGTCTAATCTCAAATACCACCGAGTCAAAGTCAACTCCAGACAAAGCTCATCTGAGTAGTCAGTACAAAAGCAGCATAGGTGAGAATATAACTGAAATCCAGGCCACCAAGTCCTATTAGACACGATGTCCTCAACATCAGCATCTGTGAAACCAAATGCAGACTCCTAATGAGAATGAAGATTCCAAATGAGAATTCCTGCTTAGTAATGAAGCAGTTGAGAGAGGGAGGGAGGGAGAGAGAGAGAGAGAGAGAGAGAGAGAGAGAGAGAGAGAGAGCATGAGCGCCAAGATAAGGACAGGATCCTCATGTCTAGGTGTGTTTTTTAAGAAGCACAATTACTTTAACTTTTTGGTGCCATGTCAGCACTCCAGCAGATGGATAGAGAATTAACATGGCATTCTCTTTATTCATCTTGTTAATAAGCATGGATCTGAGACTTTAGGACAAATGGACTGATGGTGAAGCCAAGTTGCAGAGGCCACAAAAATCAGTCCCCATGATAATCAAATATCTGGCCACTGGTATAATGCCCAAGCTTGTTGAACATGCCAGAGGTACTGTGTAAGGATGTAGATTTCTTTCCATCATTCATGTGTATTAAACCTGTGCAAAGTCTGCAGAAGAGGCAAATGACTAATTATCCTAGGATTAGCTGTTCAATGTATTGAGCCATTTTATAGAATCTCATGATAAAGTAATTTGCAATAGCCAAAGTGCTGATAATGGGCATTGAGTAATGCTTACTATGCCAGAGGCTGTTAGTTGCATAACTTGTAGTCGTTATTCTTCTCTTCTTTAATAATAGGAACTCTGAGTCTGTTCTGAGCAGCAGAGTGCCCAATAATATTTCTCAGCCTCTCTTGCAGGGAAGTATTAGGACAATGAATTGCTGCTATATCAAATATCAGTCCAATGATATATGGATATATTAAATACCAAGCCAATGATATCTATGTCTACACTAATAAAAGGCAGACATACAAATTGACCATACCTTCACTATGCCTTAAGTCACGCCCATCAGCCAATCAGAGCGACTATATGCAAATTAACCCAACCAAGATGGCAGCCAGCAACCACGGAGCTGGAGCGAGCAGGAGGCTTCCCTCCCACCCGCCTTGGCCAGTTCTGAGCTCCACTCAAAGCAACAAAGTTTCAATTATAGAAGGTAAATAAATCCCAGAA